CAATGGTAATCTGATAGATCTGATAGGTTTGCGATATAGGGATGAGATCACTGGGCCTCATTTGCAGCCGTTCATTCAAGGACTTCACGCTTCAGAAAGATAATGCTCGTGTTGTGACTGGCTACCCGAGACGACAGAACATTCCGGTACTGCCATGACCAGTTTCTTCGATCTGTGCCCTATCGAGCACGACAGAACATTCCGGTACTGCCCTGACCAATTTCTTCGATCTGTGCCCTATCGAACACGACAGAACATTCCGCACTACAAAAATGACTTGGTTTCCTGGAACCTGGAAACCATCCGTATAGTGGGTAATTGGAGAATCCAGTTGGTTGCCATTCACTGAAACTGAGTAACTGATTTTCCAATTAGATTCCATTTTGGATTCTTTGATTTTTAATTTCTGTAAATGGAAACCAACAAGAAACTAAGGTTATAGGTTTCTTGTTGGTTTCCATTCCTGGAATTTGCAATTGAAGTTTCATTAAATGGAAACCAACATAGAACCAGAATATGTAGTTTCATGTTGGTTTCCTGTGCACTGTTTTGAACTAAGTAACTTCAAATTTGCAAGTATTTTGGCATGTAGTTCACCATCCTGGCATCCAGTTGGTATCCATTCATTGAAACTGGGTAACCTAGTTTCCTAAAAGAATCCACAATGGATACTGTAAACTTATAGTTCCGGTATGGAAACCAACAAGAAACTATGGTCATGTGTCTACTGTTGGTCTCCATTTCTGAAACTTAGTTTCGAAGATTAACTACTTTCATATCATATTACATTATCAGTAATTGCGAAGAATAATTATGAGGTCTTAAAATTCAAACTGAATATGCCTGGGGAAGGAATAGCAGAATTATCTTTTTTGTTTTTACTATAAAATATAGTTTCTGAATATTTGTTTTACAAAAAGTTCCTTGCAACGGTTGATTGCTACAGTTTTACACTTGCGGACAATCTCAGCAGATTCTCAGCACGGTTTATGTAAATATAGTTTCTTATGGAAGCATGTTATTATTTTATCTTTCTCACAAATGTTAATATGATTTCAGGACATGGATGGTGACATTGATCACACCCCTCTTCTGCCAAAACCCAACCAAAAGAGGAAGTGGAAGGCTGCAGCTGATACTCGGGTGCGCAGAAGTCTCGAAGTTGACCAAGTTCAAGTGCAGGTAATGTTTTGAATGTTCATTCTCATTTCATCTTTGCTAATTATTGTATTTTATTATTAGCTTTTATCTCAACAAAACAATGTGAACAGTGTTGAAGTAGTGCCCCTTTGTGTTGCACTTATCAGGATAAGCTAAGAAATTCTAATTCACACATGTTCACAGAATGACAGCACAGATAAGGAGCTGGGATCTGCACCAACAAGACTTACAACATGCTGTCCAAGTTCACCCAAAGGCCCATCAACACTCCATATCGGGCAGTCAAGGTATGTTATCTTTAGCATTGACTTGCATATAAAGTATTGTTTGTCTAAAAGATGTGTTAAAATGGATTCTGGAACTCTTGTTTGTTGTTTTTTGCTTGACTCTAATTCTATATCTGTATGTTCAGGAATTGGCTGCTTCAGTAGATGTCTCGGAACTGCGGACTTTGTGACAGAACTGCTGTTTTGTATATATATTTATTGTCGTGTGTTTTATGAATTGAATCTTAATGAAATATTAATATTATGAAAGTTGTTGATTTTTTTCCTAATCCTTGATTGAAGTAACCAGCTCACGATATCTAACCAAACCATACACACACAAAGAACACAAACTCTACAGGTCATAAATCTACATACCTCAAAGTGAATCTCAGGTCATAAATCTAGGCGCACCTGTGTGTAATTCATTAGGTATGTTGCATACACCACATCACATTTATTGGTGAACTGTCAGAACAACTATGTGACGATAATAAATACACAAGAGTTGAGCAATTACTGACAAAGTGAACCTAAGGTCATAAATCTAGACACATCTGTGTGTAATTCATTAGGTATGTTACATATACCACATCACATTTATGGGTGAACTGTCACAGCATAAATGTGAGGATAATAAATACACAAGAATACACAGTTATGCCGGTAATGATATATAGCAGATGTCTAATGATATCGCTCTTGCTTGACCCAGTGTTTTCCTGCAAGCTGTTGAATCGGTCATAGCGCACTCCTAAGCAGATTCGAGACTGGTTCCTCCTCTTCCCTTCTTCCTGTATTCTTCGGGTTTTTATGATTCTGTCGTACGTCTTCGACGACCCATAGCCGGAGCGAAAGTAAATCCAGTTCGCCGGGTGCCAGGCTTTGTTTATAAACAGGGAGTCAGGTGGCGCTGCTCTATTGTTTATAAACTGGGAGTTACCCACGCTAGGTGGCGCTGATCTTTCACTCTTGGGGAAAGAGTTAACATTTCTCAAATTGGAAAACCAACTAATATGGATTCATCTACATTGATGAGTTTAAGAAAACATCCCATACTCACTGCTATTTATGCCCTTATTGCTTTTAATTATTTATGCATTTTGAAAATTCAGTTTTTATTAATGTGAACATTCCAAATATCATTTGTTTATCATCAAATTGTTGAATGTAAATAAACCTATCATGACTTTGTGTTCTATTCTGTTATTTGTCATCCTGACGGTTTTACCATTGTGCAATTGTAATAAAATACCTGATTTGGTATGTGTGTTGCATGAAACACAACCTCTTTTCTGGAGGAGCGGGTAAGGGGCCGGCACAACAGATTCAGTTGGAAACCAGGTTATAAGCTGGGAACAAGGTTGGAAACAACAATAAACTAAGCACCAGCAGGAGCCTCCATGGATGAGTGGGTAAAGTCCCGACATGGATACTATCCAGATACTGGTGCAAAATGTAGTTTCAGTTTTAATGGTTATAACTTGGAAACTAGGTTGAAACCTACATCAAACTAAAACATGGAAACCAGGTTGAAACCTACAACAAACTAAAACATGGAAACCAGGTTGAAACCGACAATAAACGAAAACATGGAAACCAGGTTGAAACCTACAACAAATTAAAACATGGAAACCAGGTTAAAACCTACAATAAACGATAACATCGAAACCAGGTTGAAACCTACAATAAACTAAAACATGGAAACCAGGTTGAAACCTACAATAAACGGAAATACGGAAACCAGGTTGAAACCTACAATAAACGAAATACGGAAACCAGATTGAAACCTACAATAAACGAAAACATGGAAACCAGCTGGATCCTGCTTGGAGGAGTGGGTAATGAATCGCACTGGAAACCAACCGGAAATGGTGCAAAATTCAGTTTCAGCTGCAGTTTTCATGGAAACCACAATAAAACTATAGGAAACTACATGGAAACCAACTGGAAATGGTGGTTTCCATGTCGTCTTCTCAGTTTCAGTGTTCCGGAAACCAACTTATTTTTACCAGCTTCTTCGATGTGTGCCCTATCGAGCGCGACAGAACATTTCGGTACTACCCTGACCAGTTTCTTCGATCTGTGCCCTATCGAGCACGCTTGGGATGAAATAGAGAGACGTTTAAGTCAAGCCCAGAATCAGCCATTGACATTAGCTGAATTGTGACAATCGTTGGTTCAGACATGGAACAACATTCCCCAAGCTTTCTTCAATCGCCTAGTGTTGTCGTTGTCAAGCATGCATCAACGCCAATGGTGGAGACGCACGATGCTGAATTTGTGAACTGACATTTGACACCACATCTCTTCAAGGATGTGTCACGATGCCTAGTCTCAAATCATACAAATTTTGATATTATCCTGTCAACAGTTACACAGTGATAAAGCACCACAAATTGCATTAAGAAAAAAAATGGCATAACATCAACTAACTTTATTCTAGTAGGCTACATTCCGTCCGCCTGTTATCTATGCTTCCTACCCTATATTAGTGTGTTACTATGTCCATTATTCAATGAAAATGAAAATGAAACTTGGTTGTAATAGGTTTCTCCGTGACCAGAGTGATTATCATATAAGGGCGAATAGCCCATATAAAGCGTCTGTGCTGAAGAGCACCAAGTTTTGACTGTCTTTAGAAATAGATTCCGTTTGGTGTAAAGGACAAAATAGCTGAGAAAATCATATGAACGGACCAATAAAAATATGATGGCGAAAGGAATCCGCAAAAAGTGTAAGCATGTCCTGCCCTACCGATAACACCCAATGTCTGTTGTTATGGTTCGTGAACACGACTTACAGCATCCGGACTGTGAAGCAATTTACTGTTTATTTTACTGATTGGTTACAGCTACTTACCGTCCGGTTCCGGAAACCGAATTTCCAGATTATCGAATAGGCATAGATTGGTAACAAGCTAAAATCGTCCGGGAGCCGAGACATCCGGATTATCGGAGTCCGGACTAACGGGGCTTCACTGTATTTACAAGTTGGCGTCAAACAGTAGTACTAGTGTCAAGCGACGGAGGCCTGCAGACTCGGCCTATGGATACATTACAAGCATGAGAGATAGTCATGTGATGTTAAGAACATGTGCCCACTAAAGGTCAAGCTTGGTGACTAGGGTTTCATCTTCGGCAATGTGACACACTGCAATGTGACCAGTCAACAGTCATCTTCAGAAAATTGGACACTTATGGTGCTTACCAATAAATGTGCAGACAATGCTAAAATGTAGGTTTGAAACATATAAATGAGATACAGTATTATACTGCCATATTCCGTCATATGTGTCCGTAAAGTCTACATGACTCATATCACCGACAATATGGCATATAAAGTCTGCATGACTGGTATTACCGAAAACATGCCATATTAGCTCTGTGTGACTGATATCACCAACAATATGCCATATAAAGTCTGCATGAGTTATATCACGGACAATATGAAGACTGATATTTCCTGTAATATACCCGGTACGTGACTATCACAGATGGACGTATAACACTGGTATGTAACCAGATGCTGGTGTGAGTGACTGTTCGGTAAATCATATCCATGCATACTTACCACAACAGAAAAGGCCCAAGTCATCCAAATCGTTTCACAAATTTTCGAGAAGACGGTGGCAGACATCTTCTACCAGAGCTGTGTAAGTTTGTGTAGCATTATCCAGCTAGGATGCTCAAGCATTCAAGCCTACGTGAGTCTGCATTATTTGAAAACTGTAAGACCCATTCAACATCCGGGCATCTGAGCTGAAGGCGACATCTGGGAATGATAGATTCAAATTGATAATGAACTGAAAACAATTTACGGATATTGTTATTTTCCTGTCAGTACTAAAATGCAACAGATTGGTTCAGTTTGGTATGCATTTAATGCGTGTTTGGAATCAAAGCTTATCAGTACTAAGGTGATACAACCCAAGGGTTACATCACCTCCTTAAACAACATGGACACCCACGCGGACACGCGTTTGTCAGTTTTGCGTCATAGTTACTACAGCACGTGTTGCCTGCTTCCGATGTATACACACAAAATATCGTATTGCAATATATCCTGAGTTTGATTTGATATATTTGCGAATACTATATACGGCGTTACTGCGGGCAGCGTTCCTGGGCGTGTAGAGGGGGCAAGGGCCCTGAGCTGATGATTAGCCTTACCAGCCTGACTGTGCCAGGATCACCCGAACCAGCTGCATACAATTTTTAATCTGTAAAACCTAACACGAGGGGCGTCCCCTAGAAAAGTATACAAATGCGGCTGTTTTATGTTTTATTTTTCTACATATTATCTGTCAACCTCAAGCAAATTGGTTTTGCCATGTTCCAGCTTCACGATCCCCATTTGTTTGACTCTTTATCTTGGTACCCCCAAAAATCGCAAAATCTGCAATAAATGCATCACAAACTTCAGGAAACAAAATTTGCAAGAAGTCCTCTAGAATCAAACGTAGATGTTAACGTGCATAAGCAGGCATTATAAACTACAATCGCTTGTTAAAGTGACTCTTCCCTCCCTCCCTCCCTCCCTCCCCGTGATGTTGACTGAAAGAGCTTGTTTTGGAGACACTACCCATCCCCTTTCAGATGACGTAATCATAAGGGCATAACTTATTCGAATGTTTTCACTTCTTCATACATGATTCCATGGGTTCAAACTAAATACTGAATGATCACACAAGTGTCAGCACTCAATATATTGTAAACAATGCCAGCTTGAATATCTGAACACAGTGTTTTTGAAAGATTAAATTTGGGGTGTCCGTCTAAATATAAATCAAGCAATTCAAATCTTTGAATGTTGATTATGACGGGAAGTCATCCAATACTATACTGAACATATTTTATATGCTATTATCTGAGGGCATACCACTATCCAAGAGGTACAAAATGACAGATCGTTTTTCACTTCCTGCAATTTTAAAGAAATATTATACCCCAATGTGTTGTGATGACTAATATCTCGTTAACCACATTACCCACATATGTGAAATTTTGGATATGGCTTTGCTAATGATTCCTTCAAAATAAAATGGAACCTTGTGTAACATTGGACATAAAGAATATAGTCAGGCCGACTACTTTTGGGACGCCCCTCGTAATATTAATGGCATTTATACTAATAGTAATAGTAATAGTCCACTTATAGTATGACCAGAAATTATTGAGAATTTAAGGAATATGTTTAATTGGACTTCTAGTAAAAACAACCTTGACCAGCTATCAAGTGCTTGGTTTCATTCAAGAGAGACAACTCCGTTAATCCTTTTTCATTAGTTTGTGAAGAGTTATCCCCCTTTGTTTTCTTGCCAGCAGACGACATTTTCAGTGATGCTCAGTATGGATGATTTAGAGTAGAGGAAGTTGATTTTAGAGTATTATAACAAGGACATCAGATCAGCTAAAGTGATTTCAAGTAGAACAGGCATCCCTTTGTCCACTGTTTATCGTGTTTTGAAAAATATTGCAAATGGATATGGCACTGAGCACCAGGGAGACGCAGGTAGGCCCAGAAAATTGACTGTCGGCGACAGGAGGCGGCTTGGTATTCTTGTTTCTAAAAATAAGGGAAGGAGTTTAGAAAATTTAAGGCTGGATATGATTGATAGAGGAACTGTGGCTGTCTGTGAGGAGACAATTAGAACTGAGCTGCATGCAATGGGTTGGCAGAAAAGTCGAGGAATTCCATCACCGATCATGAAACCTGAACAAAAGGAGCGAAGGTTGAACTGGTGCTTACAGCATAGAAATTTTAACTGGGACAATGTGATTTTCTGAGATGAAAGTTCTGTGTGGCTGTTTCCTTATACACTGAAATTCTGGACCAAACAAACTGAAAAACCTTTGTACCAGCGCCCAAAGTACAGTCCGAAATTTAACGTTTGTGGTGGCATATCTGTGTTAGGGGCAACGCCCCTCTGTGTATTGGAAGGGAATATGAACAGTGAGCGGTACACATATATTTTCGAGGGACATTTACTTCCATCTGCGCACGTGTTCTATGGAATTTTTGGGATTTTCCAGCAGGAAAACGACCCAAAACATCGTTCAAAGCATTCACAGGCCTGGTTTCGGACCCAAAATATGACATTATTAGATTGGCCAAGCTATAGCCCTGACCTAAATCCAATAGAAAATGTTTGGGGACCTATGAAGGAAAGTGTCAATAAGGACAATCTGACAAATATTGCTGAAATGAAAGAAGAGGTGGTCCGATATTGGGACAGCATGGACCACGACTTTCTAACTTCTTTAATCAGTAGTATGCCCCGCCGCATTGAAACCTGCATTGCTGCCCATGGTGGTTGACAAAATACTAACTATTCACTTGTCTTTGAGTTATGTTCTGCTAATATTCACATTTAATACGTGAGTAATGAGTGAACATTTTTTACAATCTTTAAATTCTCAATAATTTCTGGTTGTACTGTATATAGCGCCATTCCAGGATGAATATCTTGCTCCAAGCGCTAAGAAGGAAAAGGAGTGTTCGGGCAAATGCTTGACGGAACAAGTGAGTCTTGAGAGATGTCCCGAAAGAAGATTAGGTTGGCGAAGTTCGTAGTTCTTGAGGGAGAATGACCCTCAATTTATATTGCGCTGCCTCCACGCTATCAAAGCGCATTACACATTATTACCCCAGATAACCCAAGCTGCCCTCTCCAACATACAATTAACTTGATTGTGATATATGAGGCATTGTGCCAGAATATATTGACAGTATTTACAATAATTCATTACAATCAAGCTTATATTATAAATATCTTGGTTTATGGTTTTACGAAGTGTTTGAACTACATTTTACTGATAGTGAAATCATTGAAATCTGTTGAGTGTAATCGTATGTAAATTTAAATCTGCTGGTGGTTTAGCACACAAGGTTTTAATACCCAGTTTGTCTTACGGTGCAGCGATCTGGGAAAGTAGACAGTTCAGCTGTATCAACTTCAAAACCGAGCTTGTCGTTTCTTTCTTGCTCTAGGTAGTAGTGCGTGAATGAGTTTGGTTTTACGCCGCTTTTAGAAGCATTCCAACAATATCACGGCGGGGGACACCAGAAATAGGCTTCACACATTGTGCCCATGTTGGGAATCGAACCCGGGTCTTCGGCGTGACGAACGAACGCTTTAACCACTAGGCTACCCCACCGCCCCGCTCTATGTAGTAAACCCCACACCTCGCGCTTCGTGGCGATATGGGTTGGTCTTCACCTCTAAAAAAGACAGAAAAGTTAAATATTACGTTTTTGGCATCGTTTGCATTAAGTTACTAGGTTCTTCAGTGCAAGCTGTTCTACAGCTTTATAAATACATACGCTAGAGAATTAGATGAGTAATACTTCTTAAATTGGATTTCATTAGATGCAGTATCCTTTTGCTGCAGCATTAAATTTATGGGCATGTTTCAAAACTGAACTTGTTTACTTTTCGGATAGAATTTTGCTATCGCTTATAATTTTTTTCTAAATTGGAATGAGCTTCCATTTTAATAATGATTTCGCATTTTGAAACACACGAGCTAGAAGTAGTGCTCAATAAATTAACTCACCATTCACATTGCTATATCTTTGAAATTGTTTGGACATCGAATGTTCTGTACGTGCTGTCGGACAACATGGCGGTCTTGTCGTCTTGTGGTCACCCTTGGTCTGCCAGTACGGGGGCGGTCATTTGTGGTGTTGGTGGCCGAACGTTGATCTGGAAGTGATTGGCAACGGCTTGTGCAGTGTGGCCCACAGGCACTCTTGTCTTTGCGAGGATTAAAGATTTTATAAAATATATACAAAAATTTGAGATGACCCCCGACTCGAAATGCTTCACAGTACAATACATCATGACAAGGCCGGACACTTCGGTGCACCCCACCCGACTGCTTTGCCGATCGCTACGCTACCATCGCATTCAATCAATTAAAACTTAATGGAAACATAATCATGGATGATTTGCCTATCGAGCACCACTATGACACCTACCAATTCTTTATTTTTATTTCTGCAAGTCGATTGAAACAAGATTTTGACTGTCAACTAAACGATCTTGACACAAATGGCTGACGATATATCGGCACAAAACGGGGATCTGGTCGAAGCAAGCCCTCTAGTTGGTCAACGCTGATAAATCTGCACATTCTTTATAAATTCTCGGGAATTTTTCTTTCATCGACTGCTTGACTTGGAAGAAATGTAAAAAAGATTTCCAGCAATGGCTTCTCAAAAGGAAACATCATTTGTAAATGTCTCCTTAACAAACATCAACCAACCAGAGGGCTTGCTTCGACCACACAGCCGTTTTGTTCCGATATGTAAAAAGGTAGTGAATAACGTCTTCGTTATAATGACCACATGAACACTTAGATGTTTCCGATGTATGTCGATGATATCTGTCTGCGTTTAGATCACTACGGCCGAGCTTGAGGCGACAATGGATGGTTTGACAAAATCTAGTCCCAAAATTAAATCAAAGTAATTGCGAGTTTCTGTTTGTGTTTATCGTGGTTATAAATTGATTAAGGGAAATAGCGTTAAAAGCTCCATTAGTTTACTTTTTTTTTTTTTTTTTTTTTTTTGGGGCGTTTGGTTTTATTTCGTTGTTTTGTTTTGTTTCTTGGTTTCTTGTTGGTTTGCTTTTGTTTTGCTTTTGCTGTGGGGTATTTTTTTGTATGTTCTTGTTTGTTTTGTTTTGTTTGTTTT